ATCCAGTGTCGTCCCTTCCGCTGATCGGTGTCTTACCCCAAGACCAGTTGTTTCTCAAGCCTTGGAATATAGGCACAAGATCAACTTCATCGTACGCCCCAGTTCGATCAAAGGATCTGGGGTATCGTCTGATCTGAGCCACTCGGGTGTCAGGTCCGGAGCAGAGTTTAACAAACTTTGGAACCTGAAGTCACGGATTCGCCTCCAGGAGGAACGCGGACTCCAACATCCGCTAGATAAACAACGGCGCTCGGCTTTCACTCTCAACTGCTTAAATCATCCTATTTTGTATTCGGGCTGCCGCTCCAGCTGGTGTGCATTGAACACTGCCTACACAATGCTTCCTCCTATCCCCGCTCTCGCGGACTACGGCATCTCCCCAGATCATGGCTTCCTTCCACCAGAACCACCACTCGAGGCCCTTCCAGATCCTTACTATGCCAAGTGGGAATGGATAGCATCCAATCTACAGTCTCTACTCCACAGTGGGAGGATTCGAGATGTCGTCAACTGTCTGCCTCTTCTTCAGACCAAATACCTACATTCCGAAGATGAGTGGCGAAGGGCTTATGTTGTATTGACCTTCATACTACACGGTTACGTCTGGGGTGGCAAGACACCAGAAGAGGTAGGCTTTTTAACAAACGAGTCCTGCAGGTGCACATGCTGATACTAATGGTTGATTCCCAGCGAATTCCACCTCAGCTCACTATTCCCCTTCTCGAGGTCTGCGACCATCTAGAGCTCCCTCCGGTGGCCACATATGCCGCAGTGTGTTTGTGGAACTACAAGCCTATCTTCCCGGATGAACCCGCGCACGACCTGGATAACCTCGCCTGCATCAATAGTCTCACGGGATCACTAGATGAACGGTGGTTCTATCTGATTTCAGTGGCTATTGAGGCCCGTGGAGGACCTGCCATTCCCTTGGTCTTACAAGCTATTTCCGCAGCGCGGACTGGAAATAGCAGAGTAGTCACAGAGTGCTTGCAAAGTATTGCCGAGACTCTGGACCAGATTGGTGTGCTTCTCGAGCGGATGTATGAGCATTGTGATCCCTACGTGTTCTATCACCGAATCCGGCCATATCTCGCTGGAAGCAAAAACATGGCTGATGCTGGGTTGCCCAACGGTCTGTTGTACGACGACGGAAGCGAGGAACCCGAGTATCGCCAATATGGAGGTGGCAGCAACGCTCAGAGTTCACTGATCCAGTTCTTCGACATCGCCCTGGGCATCGAACATCGGCCCACGGGCGAGACCCGTCCCGCCAGCACTCCGTCCGAGAAGGAGCAGGAAGGCGTTGCGGGAGCACCGCGGCACGGGTTCATCCAGGAGATGCGAACCTACATGCCCGGCCCTCATCGGCGTTTCCTGGAACACGTGAGCGCTGTAGCCAATATCCGGGAGTACGTGGAAGCGCGACGGTCGGACAAAGCGCTCTGCCTCGCCTACGATGCCTGTCTCGCTATGTTGCGGGCCATGCGAGACAAACACATCCAGATGGTGTCTCGATACATCATCATCCCCGCGCGGGATGCACGAAATCGTGCACCCGAGACGTCCAGTGCCAGGAGGCCATCGATAACAATGAATCTGGCCAATGTTCGGCCTGGCAGCAAGAAGCTGCGCGGCACGGGCGGGACAGCACTAATCCCGTTCCTGAAGCAGGCGCGCGATGAAACTGGAGAGCCTGCTATTGACGCTTGGGCGCGACGATTGCTAAGCAACGGTCCGGCGGAGCCGAGCTTCGCGGCGCTGAGCAAATTGGGCGAGCATCCGGACGGCCACCTGGAAGTGGTCGGGTTATCAGGGACCTGGACGGCAGATGACAGTGAGGGAGGTATCTGCCATTGGTAACCCGATCAGGGTATTGGGAGTTTACGGCATGACGAAAACGATTATCCATCTTTGTTTTTTTGTTTTTTTTTTCCTTTTTCTTCATTTGTTACGAGGCGAGATCTGCGATAGACTTGTCACTTTGCATTAGCGGTGCTTCATTATCGGGCTGTATAGACAGACTCCGAACATCTAAATGACAGCTTGGCACTATACTCAGCCATACGAATACATTCTCTTCAAACTCTACGATGTATGACGCATTCATGATGCCATCCAGTATGTTGCGCATTTGTTTCGGATATCTGATTCTGATGCATGCGACATAGCCCAATTTGGGACCACGTGCTATGATGTCATTACATGATGTCATCTATCCCAAGCCACAAATATGGATATGACAGCGACACCAATTGTCTATATAAAGCCACAGACATCTCTGAATCGTTGAGAAACAAATCATCCAAGACCTGCTTCAACCAAGACCAATTTGAACAAGATCAATTTTGAGCAACCCACAAACGTCCACATACAAACACATTCTACGAACAATCCATCACCATGTCTGACAATAACAACAATAACAACGCTTCCACCCTCAACAGCTACATCAACCAGGCCACTGGCCTCGCCCAGCGCGCCATGGGCTCCGTCACCGGCAACCCGTCCACTCAGGTAAGCACCCACCGCATCCCGCCTCGATATACCATGTCCAGTCCAGTCCACTAACAACACCCTAGGCCGAAGGCGAATCCACCCACACCCAAGGCAAAGCCGAACACGCCGCCAGCCACGAGACCGCGAAGATAGGTCCCGTCGCGGCTGACCCGCAGACCGGCGCCGCGGCCAAGGACGACCCCAAGCGCACGCAGGGCACCTGGGACCAGACCGTGGGTGCGGCCAAGGAGTCCCTCGGCAACCTGATCGGCAACGAGAATCTGCGCCGCGAGGGCCAGGAGCAGAATGCTAGCGGCAAGGAGCAGGAGGCGAAGGGTCAACTACAGGATTGGGGTGAGGGCGCTGCGAACCGGGCTAAGGGGGCTCTCGGATCGGTGGGTGCTGCGGTTAAGGGTGATCGTACTGAGGAGGAGAAGTGGAGGGATGTCCATGATGAGGGGAAGGTCAGACAGAGAGGTGCGGAGGTGGATATGGAGAAGAGACATGATTAGGTTGACCACATTATGGCTGGGTGTGTGTCTTTGATCTGGCGGATTGATTCTTTGATGATACCTTATGAGTTATGATATGATATCCAATTTGTTTAATGATTTGTGCCCGCGTTCAGTACATCTCTGTTCAGCTAGCTGCTTGATCTTGTACATTTTAAATTGAGATTCGCATAAATCGTTCTATCATGGTTATCAATCTTCAAGTATCCCACGGGTAAATAGAAGACAGAACCTGCCAAGAATGGCTGGAAACTAATTCCATCAATAGCAATCGGTCATAGCATTATTTCATAGTCCGTGAGCACATTATCAATCTCGGACATAGAGCGAGCTTGCCAGCGTACCCCTCATGAAGTCAGGTCCACCGTGCCTCTCAGTATGATCTCATTGCGCCAATTTCACAACAACTTCAACTCCATTCCACATCACACATCCGACATATTGAATACACTAACTTGAATTGTTTATGTTGCGCAACATGGCAAAATCATTGACTCTGCGTTCGACATATCGAATGAACTCGGGCCATGAGATTCCTGTCCTTGGATATGGAGTGAGTTGAATATAAGAACCTTTCTTCATTTTTCATTGCTAACCAATATCGGTGCCGGCGTAGGTCTACATGATGTGCGTACACATCCACAAATTGATATCCGACTACTGACACCAAACCTCCGGCGCAGTCCGGCATCTCAAACAGAAAAGTCCACGCTAGAAGCTCTCAAAACGGGCTATCTTCATGTATGCAAGCTAAAACAACCGAGTCAGAATACCAGCTGAGGTCGGTGTAGGTTGACTCTGCGATCATGTACCGCAACGAGAAAGCCTGCGGCCGGGCAATCCAGAACTCCGGCCTCGATCGATCCGAGGTCTTCTTCACGACGAAGATCCCGCCAGGCTCGATGGGGTACGAGCGCACCAAGCGCGCCGTCGACTCTAGTCTGCGAGAAGCCGAGGTGGATTATTTTGATCTGTAGGTACCTCCCAGTACATGGCCCCGACGCGTGCAGCTGAATGATACGACAGAATCCTCATCCACGCTCCCTACGGCGGCAAGAACGCCCGTCTTGGTTCATGGCGCGCTCTAGTCGAGGCGCAGGCAGCCGGGAAGACACGCTCTATCGGCGTATCGAACTACGGCATCCATCACCTCGATGAATTGGAAGAGTACATCAAGGGCGGCGAGGGCCGGGGCAAGATCGATGTTGGGCAGTACGAGCTGCACCCATGGCTGGATAGATCGGAGATCGTCGCTTGGCTTAAGAAACGCGATATCGTGGTTGAGGCGTACTCGCCGCTGGCGCATGGGTATCGGCTCAACGAGCCTATCTTGAAGACCTTGGGGAAGAAACACGGCAAGTCTCCTGCGCAGATTATGATCCGGTGGAGCTTGCAGAAGGTTAGTGTTCTGTTTGTTGTTACTTAGGAGGTATGATTGACGGACACTAGGGGTTTGTTGCGCTTCCCAAGTCTGTTACGCCAGCACGCATTCTGGAGAACGCGGATGTCTTTGATTTTGAGCTGTCGGAGGAGGATATGCAGGCGCTTAATACGGGGGAGTATTCGCCGACGGATTGGGATCCTACTGTCGAGTATGATTGATATGTCGTGCTAAGAATTTGATGGAATACCAATGCGGAGTAGTATATAGTTAAGGACATGCCAATGCTGCAACAATCAGTGATATACTCTCGTAGATTGACCTTCCCAGTTATTGCGAAATGTTGTCTATTGCCATTTACCGCATATGCATCCTAATCTGATACAAGCGGTTGGGAATCATGATATGCAGTTGGCGTGTCGGTCACCGATATGGTTACATTCCCGGAGCGGAAATCACAGCGGGCGCGGGGCTGCTTAGCAATTCAACCCGATGCAATCCGTCTTATCAAGCGCAATTTGTCACCAATTTCCAAGCGCAACACAACTGAAAATAATTCAATATATCCGGCTTCTATTCCTTGCACTCTATCTATAACCAAGGAAATAGCCATGAAGCTCATACTTTCCACCTCGTAAGTGGCAAGCTGCTGTGACTAAGGCACTACCCCTCTATCACCAGACAAGACTGATCGAGATGTGTTTCATTTCGCAGAAATCTCATGACGAGTGGCGGCTCGTCCGTCATCAGACATCTAGGCACAACGAAATCGAACGTCGAGCTGATCAACTCGCTACGAGCGAATTTCCAGGCTGCGCAACAGCTTGCGGCCGCGGATGAGACAGAGACAAAACCCACGGAGCGGTACAAGACATGGACATCAATGCAGGATGATGCGCTTTACATTCCCGCGATCGATTTCTCGCAGCACGGGTTGGCGGAGGAGAGGTCGCAGTACGATATTACGGTGAAACTGTTCTTTCTACCCGGAATCCCGGTGTCGAGACGGTGCGCGCATACGCGGCAGGCGATTGATCTCGTATTGAAAGAGCTACATGTGGATTCTATCGACCTGCTTATTGTTTCCTTCCCTGGGATTTTGTTCGACGCGGAGGACGACAGCGAGGAAGAAGTGTCGTCGGATGACGGAAGCGAGGAGCCAGATGACTTTGACAGCATCATTCAGTCGTGGAGGACGCTTGAGGGGCTGCACGAGAAAGGCATGATTGCTCAGCTGGGTGTGGCGGAGTTTGGAAGCGACAGGCTCGCTCGGTTCCTACCACATACCAAGGTCAAGCCGTCTGTTGATCAGATCAACCTCAAGGACTGCTGTGTCGTTCCCAAGTCGCTGATTCTCTATGCGAAGCAAGCGAATATCCAATTGCTCACGCATAACGACTGCAATGATATCCTGCCAGTAGGCACGACACGGGAGCTGCTGGGTCCAGGGGAGAAGGGCGCTGGAATCCTTGCGTCCGCTCCTGATGCCGACGACGGAATCAAAGGCGATGTTGAGCCACAATGGGTGGTCAAGTACACGGCGGTGGTCAAAGACCGCGGAGTGGTGGAGAACAAGGGATATTTTGCGCTGGCAGACGTAGGCAGTTGTGTCAAGACGAGTTCATGAGAATATGCGATGCTATTCAGTGAGGTCTGTTTCTATTCTTGCAAAGTACACATTTTCTTCGTTGCATTGTGCGATAGAGCGTGGCGCAATATCTTGGTTCTTCAATGAATGACGAATGATTGTACGTGTATGTCGTTGCTTCTCTCATAGCTCATATGAACAACGGAGTCGTGGGTATAGAGCTTGGATGCTTCGAGCAAGCCGCTCATCCAATCATACTTCTCTTACGACCTCTCATCCTCACTTCCTCTAGCCGTTTCAACGCCGAGCTAGCGCCCTTGTAGCTTTCCTTATAGCCATTGAGGACCTCTTCGAAGAGCGGCTCAGTACGAGGATGGGTGCTACCAAACGCCCTCTCAAGCACATATAGATCAACCGCGCGGTCCTCATCTTGCAGACTCTGACTGGCCAAGCCAAAGTCGATCAGAACCACATCCCCCTCCATGGACGGATCTGTCTCGTCAGCAGCGGGTTCCTGCTCCGCATGACTAGGCGGCCGCAGGATGAGATTGCTCGTCGTCAGATCTCCATGGATAACACCGGCCTTGTGTAGCGCCCCAACAGCGTGACCAATCCTCCTCAACAGGTCTCTGACCCGGGCTTCTTCCTTTTTCAATTCCTCCGCGCCCTGGCCAGCCTGGTTCCGCTTCATGTATTTCTCCCACCGCTCCAGTACGACTCGCACTACCAATCCCTCAATCCACTCCATCATCAACCAAGCCCCTCCGAATCCCTTTTCGCCAGATTGGCCCTCCCAATCCAGCGCCAGCACCGCGGGGACATTGACGCCTTCCCGGACGAGTTTTACCAGGCACCGAGCTTCCTGCAGTATGCGCTGGCGTGTGAGCCGTCGGTCGAGAATCGGGTGGCGGTAAGGCTTTGAGGGGCGGATCTTCAGAGCAGCTGGGGTGGAGGGTGAGAGGAAGACGGTCTTGTAGAGATGTGCTTCGGCGCCTTGGGTGAGCAATTGCGGTGGAGGGGTTGTGTTCGTGAAAGGAGAAGGGAGGGGAGGTGGTGTATATGGGTCCGCTGAAGCCATCGTTCGAGATTGATGCCGGTCTTTGATAATGCTTCTAAGTGCTTCAAAGTGTAAGGGTGCGATCTAGAGTATTTTCAGGTGCTGCAGCTGGTCCAATGATGGTTGTGGATGTGGTTGTGATAAGTCCGAGAAAAAGTGACGATTTTGGTGGGGCAGATGCGTGGATCACCGATTAATCGAGGTACGGCATCATCCGTCCATACTACGATAGTGACACGAGGAGCTCCAAAGGGACGAAATTCCTCAATTCTCTGTCTTGCTTCTTGGTTTGAATAGCTTCAAATTCCAATTGCATTGAGCTGCAAGATTCTATTGAGCCGTGGCCGACCCATATCCGCAGGGTTATGCCTCAGGCCGCTGGGGGTAGTATGATAGTATTTATATTTCATGTCCATTTCCTCTCTACAGATGACGTTCAATACCACGGCAGCTGATCCAGCTTCGGAAACAACTCATCACCGTTCACTCCCCCTTTCCAACGAAGCAGCTCCTCAACGACGGCCTCCAACTCCATGCCAACAAACAGTTCGTCTTCCATGCCAGGCTTCCATCCTCGTTTAACCCTCTTCGCAGCCAGCTCCTCACCGACACCATACGGATCCCGTCTCCACAGACCAATCCCACTCTTCTCTTCCCCTGATATCAATGACGCCAGGGGCGTTACTTCTTCCGGAGGATTGATCCCAACGACAGCTCCGGAACAGGAAGCTTGCCCCTCCCTCTCACTGAAGGATGGCCTCAACCCAAGAGCCTGAAAATGACACTCCATGAACCGCTGGCGCTTGAACTCGTGCGTAACGACAGTGATCTTTGTCGGATACGCTCCGACGTACGATCTGAATCTGAGCAGAGAGAAAAGCACATTCTGATAGGAGTCCGTAGCGTTGGTTTCGGCTATAACTCGGTCAGGATGGATCCTGGAAGAGTAAGAGAAGTAATCATTGTCTTTGGCCAAATTCTGTCCGGAGGCTGTCAACTGATGTCTGGCTTCTGCGCTGGGAAGAACGAGATAGTCTCACATGATATGAGGTGCCTTCCGCTAAGTCTGTTCTGTCTTTCTTTGTTGGGCCTCTGTAAAGAATCAGCTACTACAAGTCCGCCAGTGTGGGCTACTAGTACTCTAACAAAGGGGAAGGCTTACCCGGAAAACACCAGCAGTCCATACGGATCGTCCGCCAATGCTCGAAGACCAGCTTGAACATGAGCGGTGAATGTGGGCGTTTCGCCCCTTTGGAAAGATTCAATCAACCTATACGTAGTGGATATGGTTAGCACGCGAAGTGTAGGCTCTAGAGTGTAGTATATAGTTGGACATGAGATTATGGGATTCCCAATCGCTTGGAATAGCCAAGCTACACATCTCACCATTCGTCCTCGCAGAGGCCCTTTGTAGGTCCGCCAACGTATATCGCATGACAGCAAACAACTATTAAGTGATTGCAGGCTGATATCTGGACGCTTGGAGGCCTTTCCATCGCTTTGGCCAAGACGTGTGAAAGTGTGGTTGACAAGGCTATCGATAAGCGGATGCTAATTTTGGAGATGTTTTGAAGAATCATTGATGCGGCGCACACGAGAGACATCGCATGATCCCTTGTCATCAACAAGATCCAGACTTTACTCGATTTTATGGGAGCCCAACCCTCTCATGGAGGGCTCAGTTAGCACTAATTATCAAAGCGGACCATCGGACAAGGCACTTTTACCTTCTATATTCAGTATGCAAATTTTAATATGAAAATAAGTTTGGAAATTGAGTGAATAATCTATCGTACAGTACACGTCTGCGTGTTTATGGAACAATTGAAAAAAGACCCGCCCAGAGATATGAGGTGGTGCCGTAGAACCGGTCGCAAAAGGAATCCAAAAAGCATCACAGAACTCCATCTCATGACCATATCATGACCTTATGTGCGATGCTCAGATGAGAAACATGACGCTGACCTGACAAA